CGCAATCCCCTAGAACTTTTTGCGGGACTTTCCGGTGCGGATTACGGATTACGGGGTTCTATGTGACGCCGGCCTTTAACTTTTAACTTTTGCTATGCTGTGATGACATAGCCGTGATATAATGCCGTCTAATGTGATGCTGTGTGGTTGAGTGGATGTGTGCATATGTGTGGGTATATGCTGTGTGTGTATATACACACGCGCGTACACACCCACCACTCACTCGCATACACACCTACACGATACATGCAGCACACACACGCACGCACATACACGCATATGCACGCACAGGCGCGCATACGCACGCACACGCATGCGCACCCGCTCCGTACTCCGTACCCGCCATATTCAAATAAAAATTATTTATCTTGCATTTTAAACAAAAACAAATGTTGGAATTATAAATTTAACCGATTATTAATAATGTACAAACGACGTACAAACGATTAAGCACGATAAATTCATAAGTTATAGTTTACGTGACGTAATTGCGACATAGGGGGGGCTAACTATCATTGGCACAGTTACGAAAACTTTGTAATTTTTTTTTAAATTAATGAAAAATGTACAAACAATAAAAATCATAGTACATTCATGTACAAACAATGTACAATCCGAATATATAAATGTTTTTACGATTTGCGTTAGGGGGGGGGGGCCAACTATATAGACCTGTCAAGTGGGGGCGCGGGGATTCGGAAATTATTGAAAAATTTTAACCGATTATCGATAATATCGCAATACCACTACGCTACAATATCTGCTTTGATTTAGTCATATAAAACATGAATTTAATAAATTGTGCTAATTAGAATAATTATAAATTTTGTTAACGAAGAGAAAAATAAATGAGAAAGTTGTAATTCGCGAAAGTATTATTCTTACAATTAGATATAAAAACTCAGATATATGAATTTAATAATTTTTCAGATAATTTCAGACATAAGAATGTGAAAAATCATTGTATACTGCTTATTACATCGGCTATAAATATTGATTTTGATATTTGATTGATAAATTATTGGATCGGACACAAAATATTGCAAACGATAATTCAAAAATACTAATTATGATTTAAACATATACACATACTTGGTGATGATTGTGTTCTCGTCATATTTTCGCTGCATTTTGGCGAGAAAATGATGACGTCAAATAAGGTGTTCCACCCGTTCCGCTACACAAACATGGTGATCGTTGATACTGAAATCATGATATTAGCGTTTCATAGTGATTGCATGCTAGGTTTACTACGTTACGACCAGTTATACGACAAACATCCGACACTTTGCGAGATACTCGCGATAAATCTATACACAACCGATTTGCTTTTACACAGTAATAACCGAGAAATAGCGAGTGACTCGAATCCGTCGCGATGCGTTACTAACTGCAATTTAAAATGCTCGAAATGATTTGCAAGAGTCGCAATCTTGCAACTGATTTTTGATCAAAGCAACGAACCAATCATATCGCAGTATCAAAGTTTTTTGTTTTAACTGCACTTCTACACAAAAAGAGTGCACAGTTAACCTTTGAAAAGAGAACAAGAGAAGAACATGAAACAGAAAATGCAGCTAAGCAAACAGAATTATTATTGAATATAGGACTACAATTCAGAATACTTTCGTAGATATTATAAATTATTATATGAAGCGTATAGCTATTTGCAAAACGACGAATGATATGTATATGTATACCTAGCGATAATCGTGCTCCCATTTTCGCTGAGTTCAACGGCATAAAATATGGCAGAAAGATTATACGCGAGATTACGATAAACGTGCGGCACTTTACGAGGCACTCGCCATAAGTATTTGCGTACTAGATTCGCTTGCAGATAGTAACAATCACGTAAAATACGCGAACGATCCGTATGCAACTTTACGATCCGTCGCGACGCGTTCCGTGACTGACCGCGAAATTCGAAATATCTATTGAAATTTATCAAAGAGCGACACAGCGTCACTGTGGAAGCGACACAAACTAATCGCGGTAAAATTTGAAATATTTTTATTCATGTTCAAAAGGTGAGTTAATTGCAATAATTCATTTTTTGTGAATTTTTCCGAAGAAATTAATTGAAAATAGTATTACAATATCAAATTTGTAACAAACTCTAATCATAGCAATTGTTTAAATTTATAAAATATAAAAGTTTAATATATTTATAAAATGTACAAGTTGAAATTTATAAAATTTAGAACTTATTTATTTATTATCACCGACAAGATACTGAGATCGTTCGCTCTTGACAACTTGACTACAGCAAGCTGTCATCGATAAGTCGACGTGTGTGGTGTCGTTCAGGGGAGGGATAGTAACGGTACTTAGGGAAGGATTACATTTAAACAGAATCTGACAGCGAAAGCAAAAAGGGGTATAATCTCAATTTGTTGACGAGAATTGAAAACGGCAAAGACATATAAGAGTAATACCTGAAATATTGAAATATGTAACCTATAAAATATAAGAATTGATATGTGTGTGAGAATATAATAATCTCTAATATAATAATCTCACAATATAAAAATATAAATATACAAATTGTTACGTAACAAAATTTAAAAAATTATGAATTACTTTGGATCTATCTAAATGAGACGAAATTATATCATTCACATTTTAATCATATGCGTTTACTTAACTCAAATATCTACCTGCACAGAACTTCTACTGCGTACTCCATATTTGTAACCATGAATCGTACTTAAAGCTGCTTCAAAGCAGTTTCAAAGCTGAGAGTTCTTAAGTATCATGTTCTACGCGAAATCCTCAGCAAGCTTAGGATCTATTTGCTTAATCTCTGGCGACTCTGAAGCCATGAAACTCAGGCAACATACAAATCTGAAACATTCCGAAAAAAAGTCTTAATATTTTTGAACCGCTTTAATGTGTTTTAAAATTTTGTATTGTTTAGGAAAATGTAATACAAGTATTACTTTTTTCAGGATATACACTTTGGAGAAGAGTTTTCGCGAGAATGGTCCGATGGCGGGGAGGAACCGGTGAAGGAAGGCGTTCTGAACGGACCAAAAGGACTGGCTGGCCAGCTGATGAGGAAACATGATAGCGAGGCTGGCAGACGCGCCGTTCGCTCTAGAATGCAACGTATATGCAAATGTCATGGTAAACTGCAACCACTATTAACCACTTAATAGCCCAATGTTGTTTTAGCAAACAGAATTATGCGTATGAAATCTGAAATTCATAATAAAATGATAATTATATAAAGTGTTTTAGACCATACTATTTGAAATCATTTTTTATTGATTGTTCCTCAATAAAAATAGTTTATAAAATATAATAAATTGAAAATATAAAAGTCAGTAAGTAAACTTCAAAATCGATAATCGCTACAAACAGATGGTTATTTCAGCAAACATGAACTTCAAACATAAATCATAAATTTCTACATAATAATCATACGCATCCATTTGCGTTCTACTGATTTCTTTTTTCTTTTTTTATTGCAATAGGCATGTCTGGTTCATGTAGTTTGCGTGTATGCTGGAGAAAGCTTCCGGCATTCAGGATGGCCGGAGTTGCTCTAGCAGCTTTACACGAGGGTGCCGCTCAAGTGAGATTGACGCAACGTAGTGCAAGAAGACCGGCCAGGCTCAGACCGGCACGTCCCGATCTTAAACGACCGAACAAGACGGATCTAGTTTATTTCGACGACAGCCCCGATTATTGCGAAAGAAATCTTACGTAAGTGATTCTGAATCGTGACATTTATTGATAAATTTATAAAGAGTATAAAGCCATAATTACAACGTACTAAAAAAGTTTTATAAAAAGATTAGTCCTGTCTTATTTTGTCACGAATTTTATCAACGTGCCAAAGAAAAATTTATTATCCAAGAAACTAAGTGGGAAATTTTTGACAATCGACTTTCATGCGATTTCGCATAATAATTTCGTTTTCTTTGTAGACTTGGCATTCCCGGTACGCGAGGAAGAGTATGCAACCGGACGTCTCTTGGTCTCGACGGATGCCGGCTGTTGTGCTGCGGCCGCGGCTACCAGACACGAGTGCGAGATGTCACCGAGAAATGCAAGTGTCGATTCGTTTGGTGCTGTCACGTGCAGTGCGATTTGTGCCGACACACGCGAGAGGAACACGTGTGTAACTAGACGTGCATTTCGAGATTCGACCTGTCTATAGGAACGCGCCCACATCGTTCTTTAAGTTCAAATTAATTATTCGTTGCCACTTTGCGTCGTATATTCTCGTCAATTAACGCCGCGAGAGGCTACACACGATAAATTACGTTGATGCAATTTCCACTTGACAGTCGTAGCAAGTTGTAAATTTTGTTCTTCTGCAACATTGAGTCATACGAATAAAATGTAGCAAACACTCTTGTTCTTAGTCCAAGCGAAAGCTTCGAAATATATAAGTATAATCTTTACATTTAATAATAAAATCATTGTTTCTATTGATCATCAAATATATCATCATATTGTGAAGCGATCCATGATAAATAATAATGAATTGTATATTATAATTTGGTATGTGATATGTGTTTTTACATAGGTTTCGATTCTATAAAAGCAACCGTCTGCTCCGTTATTATTCATACGATAAATCAAGAATAATCTGGAATAATTAGGATATGTTTCTATCTGTGCTATGGAGATGTTCTAACTTCCAGCAAGAATCTGAATATTACCGTCGTGTAGCTAATATAGCGATAGTCTGCGAAGTTGCTGTTGCGTGACTTATCATTTGGTCTGACTGTCAGGTGCCACATTACTTAGCGAATATTAATGCATTGAAAGCCAATGTGTTATCTTCATTTACATATAATCGCATAATTTTATCTCGTCGTACCGCAAAAAGAGAGATTTATATTCTGGGGACACATTAACATACCACGCATACTCGCTTTGCATCATCAGACTTGTGTGATCTGATGATTGGAGTAGGTAATGATGCGAACAGCAATGCAGTCTTTAATTTTTCTCTCTCTCTCTCTCTCTCTCTCTCTCTCTCTCTTTCTCTCTTTCTCTCTCCTGCGACTGTTATATATATTTATTTATTTTATACATCTCTTTTATATATATATCTCTCTCGTATAATTAACGCGCATTCTTTTTGGCGAGAATCAAGTGATAAAAAACTTCGTCAAGAATTTATCTAGAATTTATCTAGATTTCTCTCCGTGATATATTTACGCATCTTGCAACGCTCGACATCGCGTCTCGATGTGCCAATTTGCTATTTCTGCATGCGATAGCAAGAGAAACAAAATGGAAGAGAATGAATGCGAAAGAGAAAATGAAGGTAAGAGCGAACGAGAACATAAAGCGGAGCAAGACATAGAATAGCCCACGCGCGGCTATTATTTTTTTTTTCCCGCGTTCTCGCATACTTGCGTACGATGGGCGTACGATTACGCGAGCGTCCTATTTTATATCAAAATAAGAATCTTCACGGTGTGTGTAGGTATCTCACAATGTATACCAATGCTCTCTGGCTTGTAAAATATTCTCTTCGCTCAAATACCGAAGCAGCCGCTATGTCGGGCACGTAAGAACGAAATCACGAGGAGACGAGACGATCTCTCCGAGCGAGACGAATGCGTTTCGAGTTTTGGCTCGCACGAATCGGGAACAATTCTGCCAATGAATGTAAATATCTCATCGTTTTTCTAGATTCTACATCCGTAATCATCGTTGTATATACATAAGCGTTTTTTATTCGCTTCGTTTAAGGAAATTAATCGCATTGCGTTCTCCACAGTTTTCCACACGAAATACTTGATCAATCCGCGATTTTATCTCACTGTTTTATATTTTTAATATATATGACCGCTTTGTAGCATGCCGCCGCTAATTAAGTCGGCACTCTAGTCATTTACGAATTTCCCGACCCCATATCAGCCGCACTACGCTCACTAAGGAATGCTATTACGCGAGATTTTGCATTTTCTTCGGCCGAACGAGTCGTAGTAGCATAACGCATCGCGCAATCATTATTTCAGAAGTTATAGATATATATTATTATTTTATATATATAGGTATTAAATACTATGCAATGTCTTACGAACGGAAATCTGCAGCTTCTCGAACAGTTCGCTGGGGGTTTCTGAATTATTGAAAAGGATTATTCGGAGCAGTACTTTTACACATACATTGGTGTATTATTCAGTTACGGATAAATGTTTAGGGATATACGAATTATATGAAATTGTTCTAGAAATCTGACTAGTTAGTGGATGACGCTTATTTAACGAATTTCGACGGTAAGGGAGATCACATTATAATGAATATTTATATCATGTGAATATAAATCATTACTTATTTTGTGAGGTTGCGTATCTTATTATGGCTTATTCGTGTAGGACACGGCCTTAAGCAATGCGTAGTAGGTATTCGCGATTCGTCCGTATATTGTAAGGATTTAGCGTTAACGTATAACACGAGGCGGGAACATGCCCGTGCCAACGACATACAGAACTCAGTATTGACAAACTGTAATTTATTTTCTTCACGATGATGATGATGAATACATCACGTCGTTATACTCGTAGTTTTCTTCAGTCGAATTATGAGCAGATGTCATAATAATAATAATAATAATAATGATAGTAACGTCTCTTCGCTAAATATGAGATAAATCCTAGTTCGTAAAACATTTGTATTCGTACGTACCTGTATTCTACGTGCATTTATATAAATATACATATTCAGAAATGTCCATAGAAATGTCTGTCCAAGTTCAATCTCAATCTGAGCACTCAACGCGTGTACCGTCCCTTTGATCTTTGCCTCTTATTAGCTGTCATGATATACCGTGTAACCACTGCGCAGCTCGTACAAACTATTCCCAAGATCACACCCACAAGAAGACCGATAAAGAACTGAATGTCTTCCGTGAGAGTCCTCGCCTGACTCATCGCCATATGGAACTTTTCGTTGTCATCTTTGGTTCTTGCGACGTAACCCAGCCAGTAAATGAGCCTGTCAGAAGCTGGGGTCAATCTGTCGCGCATTGCCAAGGAAACCTTTCGCGCGCTCTCGCGATAAGCGATCGACTCGTGGATCTCGTGCACAATATTCGCTATCTCGTCGGCCGAGATATCATTGCCTGTAGTGTCCGTGGAGCGCGCAAAGCCTAACTCGATTGCGCGGGCGGTATTGCGGGACTCGTGTGTGTTCCTTGGCAGACATATCATCGGTGTCCCGTGAAAGGCGGCTTCTAGGAACTCTGTATCGACACAATGACTCAACACCACTCGGGTTCGGCTGTAACCTACAACAATGGAATAATAGTATTATATCACAGAAAACGCACGTATTATTGCTGTATTATCCTTTCTCGAGCGATTCAATTTCATGGCGCTTTAGAGAACGCGCATTCGCGAAGCACGTATTCTACTGTGAGTAAAGTGGAGATAACGCATAGGTTCATTGCTTTTCTCTTTTTATTGTTAAATGTGTTACTAGAGAAATAAATCCTTTAATAAAAATCCTCTTTCATCAATTTTTAAAAGCGTTATAAATAATTCAGACAGAATTAAATATTAATATCAGAAGGACAATAAATCAAAGGAAAAATTGTTTGATTAAACTGGAAATTGAATTTCGTGAAAATCTCTGAGATTGCAAATTATAATTAAAAAATCAAAAGAATTAAATATTTTCATGAACAGACAGAAATCTATACTTTAATTCATTGTTCCTTCAAACTTTAAAACTGTTCTCTTTTCCGTATGAATATATAACTATTTACATATATAAATTTGTGTATTTTACCTATAAGGTCTTGCCGGTCGACATTGCTACGAATGAAAAGATTCTCTGGCGCAGCATTCACATTGCTTTTATTAATCCTCCACACGACAGCTTGACCTTCTCTACCTTGAGGTAATTTCTTTGCCAATTCTCGTATCAACGTCTCATAATTTTCGTCTAAAAGAGCAACAATAGTACCCAATCTATGTTCGATCAATGGCTTATGCAAATCTCCCGATAACGGATGTGCGCCTCTGCAGTGATGACAGCCAATCTATAAAAGCAATTTTATCAATATTAAATTATGATTTTAACACTTTTAAATAAAGTGATATAAAAATAATGAATTTAATGCATATTTTACCTCCACAAGTAATTGTGTCAAAGATGCAAAATTGGAACGTAATACTGTATCAGCTCCCCAAAGCACTAAACGGATATCCGAATAAAGATGCTCCAAGTCAACATTAACATTCAGTAAATATTTAGCTGCTAATCGCAAAGTCGGAGTTACATAATTATTTTTAGCAATAGAATATGTGGATTTCCCTGAAAAACTTGTTGAAAATCTTGACCAAAATCCACCATTATGCACAGGCAGAGCAACTCCGGTACATTCAAATGCATATAGTTCTTCATCCGGATTCCCTATCCAAATTACAGGGATGGATTCAATGTATTTCGCAAATGGAAGTAAGCAGCCATCGTGTCTAAAAATATTGAAAAAATGTATGTATTTTTTTTCTATAATATATAAAATATAAAAGTATACGTAACATGTTAATATTTTATTAAATTAATAAATTGTATTTTTAATGGTTATAATAAGCTGAAAATTTATGTACCTTAATATTGGAAATATGGTAAATGTAGGTTGAAGTTCCCGTATTTTTTTCAATATCTCTTCGTCTCTAAAGAGGCTATCACATGCTTCCATTGCACGTATGTTGAGCTTATCAACTGATTTATCAGTATTAACATTTAATTGCAATACTTCAACGTCAATTAAGTTGTTATAAATGTCATTAGCAGCATAGCTTGGTACTATCAATGACGCATCAATTCCCTGATCTGATAAGGTATTGGCCAGTAATGATAAATCGTATACATTTTCAAATGCAATTATTAAAGCCGTCAGAGGAGGTGCTGCTAGCATTGAGCTGCTTGTAAATTGGAATAAACAAGAGCACACATACAAGCAGATTAGTACCAACATTATGATTGTGTTTGAAATATCAGCCAAAAATCTTGATTTACTCCAGTAAATATAATTTACAAAATTTAGATCAATAGTATCTAAATTTTAAGTTTGTAGATATAAAAGTATCAATTGTTCCAATATTGACTTTTAATCAATTATGATCATTCATGCAAAAATAGAAGTGTATTTGCTTCCGCAATTAGAATTAGACATTACTGGTATCACATTAACCAGTAAATAAACTTTTATATTGTCAGTAAATTCCTTGAGACAATTATTGCATTTATGCCAACACTTTGTAAACTGAACAAAACCTGAAAAAAAAAAGAGTTATCCACAGTGACACAACACTTACTGTCACTTACAGTGACAAACAATTAGTGACAAGCAAATATTACAAAGCACTTACTATTCTTTTTCAGAATTTCAATACCCAAGCTGGAGTTTACTTTTTGTCTTTATAATTTATGTATTATTGCATGATCTTGTAAGTTTTGAAGCTTCTGCATTTTGAATCTAGAAAACTTTTGTTTGAAATTTATCACAGATATCTTCCTGTAGTATTTCCTTCAATATATTAATATAGTTAAGTGATGTTGTGATCAAATCTGATCAAGGTTTTAACTCAGCACTAATCAAGATCTTTCTAACGCCAACGTGTACAACACATCACGTCGCGGCGCATGAATAAATCGTTCGTATTTGAACGCAGAACGCCTGCGAGGCGTCGCGTGCGTGTGTAGCGACGATACGTGGGATTCCAGGTTTCGTCTCTTTCGTGGTTGGACCAGTTGGTTCCGACGAAATCGTGCCGGCTCTCTCACCGGAGAGCGGAGGAGGTCTGCACGCATCAAAGTCCAAGTCACATGTGTCATTTTAATTATTGACAATTATAGACAAATATAATACATATAGTTTGTTGATCATTTACAGATAATTAAAAAGAATCTTAAATAGCATTCGTATTCGTAAAATTAATTATAAGGAATAACTTGTTTACGTATTGCACCTACGATATGGCTCATATCAATTCTCTTTCTCTTTTTAAAAATCAAGCGAGCCTTACCTTCTAATTAGTAATTTACCATAGATCAGGTATATATACCATAGATTAGTTATATATGTATACCTGTTTAGTAGAACAGTGAGGACAAAAAATGGTGGCATTTTCTCGCGATGGAATTGGCCGTTGGAAAGTTTGTCATTGTTGGATTGGTCACTGTTCTTTTCCTTACGTAGTCAAAGAAATATATGGTATGTCACTCTTTATATATTTATGCTCATAGCCTCATCTTTACTGATCTCTATGTTCATCCATAACAGCTTGGGTATACTTGGTAAGGTAGGAACTAGGAAATAACCTCGAGTACACGATGTCTACTCCGCAAAATACTGGACTGTCCTTTGGAACGCCAAAATCTACAACAGGTACATCAGAAAAGTAGAAATAAAACATTTCCATTTTTCACACTTTTAATGTAGAAGAAATTGTTCTGGGGAGTTGAGTTTTTTTTTGTTTTTTTTTCTGCGTCGAAATCGAATTACTTGTTTATTTCTTGATTTAATTTAATTTAATTAACTTAATCGATAATTAATATATGTATATTATTTAATTACTTACATTGCACGATGCATGGAAATAGTATTTTCATTAGGAACAATAAATTATATAGTTAAAAATTCTGTTATTGGCAGTTTTGTCGGTTAAATTAATTGGAATTTAGCCAACATCGCCTTTTTTAGTCTTTATTTATATTTTAATAATTTAATCACCTTAATGAATAAAAACTGGAAACTTGATTATATTTTAACAAAGTAATATAACTTATATCTCTGTAAGGACTTACTGGTTTGACGTTTGGTACTCCAACCACCATGGCTGCTGGAACCGGATTTGGTCTTGGCGGTAGCATGACAGCGACAACAACATCGATATCTATAGCATCCAGTCTGCCAAGTTTTACAAATCTGACAAACAGCACAACACCTATGCCTACAGCTTCGGGACTCTCTTTTGATCCTACAAAAGTATCTACACCCACAACTACAGGATTTTCTCTTGCAACAACCACAACACCAGGTTTTAGTTTTGGCGTTGGGATGTCAAAACCTATGACAGGTATAACTTATTTTTTGACAAAAAATTTCTTTACTTTTTGTGATGCAAAAAAATATCGACTACGTATAAACACGTATAAAATATATTCTCTTTAAAAGGAGGATCCACTGGCTTGACTTTTGGTACTCCTAATGTTATGGCTCCTGGAACTGGATTTGGTCTCGGCAGCCCAATCGCAACAACAACGTCTTCAACAGTTAGTGTTCCAAGCTTTAATCTTCCAAGCAGTACTGTTCAGACATCTGTGACACCAGGATTATCATTTGATGCATCAAAATCAGGTACTACTACAACTGCAACAACAGGATTTGCTCTTCCAACAACTACAGCGGGAGGATTTAGCTTTGGAGGTGGAACAACGACTACTACTACAGGATTTCCTTTGAGCAAAACAACTTCAGCTACTATTTCAACAAGTCTAGCAGCACCCTCTACTCATACCTCATTAGAAACCACAACCACGTAAGTAAAAATTTACTTAATCATAAAATTTTTGCAACAATAGTTTTTAACACTTTTAAGTAACAATACATTTAATTATACAAATTTAAAACAATTTTTTAATTTTTTCTTTATTTTTAATGTGCTAACTACAATTAATCAGATTTTCAACTTTTATTATTTATCAATTATTTTTTAATTATGAAATTTTTGCTATCATATTGCAGTGTTAGTTCTGCAACTGGCATTCAATCAGGAGCTATTAATTTCTGTCAATTGGAGGAATCGATTAATAAATGGACCTTAGAATTGGAGGAACAAGAGAAAGTATTTGTGAATCAAGCAACACAGGTTAATGCTTGGGATAAATTGTTGATAACAAACGGAGAGAAAATAGTGACTTTGAATCAAGAGGTTGAAAGAGTGAAAGTTGAACAACAACAATTAGAACAGGAACTGGATTATGTCGTAAGTTTTATTGATAGCATATAGATAAATTATTATAATTACATAAATTTTTAATTACATAATTGTACTATTCAGGTTGGGCAGCAAAAAGAATTACAAGAATGTCTAGTACCATTAGAAAAAGAGTTAGCGTCTCTTTCTGTCTCGGATTCTGATCGAGAATACACGTATCGTTTGTCAGAGAATCTCGATACACAATTAAAACGCATGTCAGAGGATTTGAAGGAAATAATAGAGCATTTGAACGAAGCCAATCGTGCTCAAGATTCTAGCGATCCTATCGTTCAAATTGGAAAAATCTTGAATGCCCACATGAACAGTCTACAGTGGTTGGATCAACAAACGGCTTTACTAAGCCAGAAAATACAACAAATCGATCAAATGCATCAAAGCTTTAGGCAAGAGAGTGAACAGAATTTACATTTAGCTTATAATTGAATTATTTTATACATAAACTGTAGGAATTATTTTTTTTAATGTATCATAGAATTAAAGATTAATGAAAAGTAGAAAGTGTGAATGGAAAAATGAAAAATATATACATATATTTTGTATTTAAATAATATACATGATTGAGTTTTTCTCATTACTTAAGATATAATGGCTGGTATAAAGTAATGTATCTTAATATAATCTCCCACATCTAAAGTTAATTTTACCATCTCCTCTTGCAGTATATTACATTTAACACTGTCTGGAAGGAGAATGTCCCAATTCAAAAACATTGCCAATTTCTTTATACTTACAGTCGCACAGATATCACTAGCCTCTTCTTGTCTGTTTTCTAAAACTTGTAAGTTTTTAAAGTAAGTAGTTACAGTAGCAGAGTCCATTTCAATCTTTAATGTCAATTCACCACGTTTATTGGCAGTTATAATCAATTGTGAACTCATATTTTTTATTTTATCTACAATGTGTCGTAGACGCTTTAGCTGTGGCATTTCTATTGATATCTAAAATAATATTTTAGTTTTATTAGATAATTACTACATTGGATATATCACATTTATGAAATATATTATTGTCATACATACATCAAACTCTGAGATATCTGGCATTTTGTGTTCCGGCCATTCTTTGCGCGGTATGAGTTTCACTGGCACGTCGTGTGTACATTGTCGAGAGTCGATGGACAGCGAAGATAAATCAACATCAAATGTCAGGCAAGGTTGTCGCTTATTTGTTAATTTAATTTTAACATTTTTTGCCATTCTTAGGCCGTTTAAACTACTAGCAAACATTGAAGCATCAAATTCCAGGTAAATTTCATTTTCTTCCTTTGATACTCCACCCATAATATACTCTGTGAAGAAATATTGTTGAGAAAATACAGCCCATAATATAGGTGTCCGTTTGTCACCGACAATGAAACATAATTCATTTGGTGTCAATCGCAGAACACAATATTTCGCTATTCGTGATATAGTATTAACAATATCTGAAATAACAAATTATGTTTAATGGAACTAAATGAATAGTGCAGTGAACGAAATATCAAGATCAACATTTATTTTTAAAAGGTTAGAATATAAAATTCTAATTTTACTTGTAAAATCCCGGATGACATTTGTGTCCACCATTCTGCATCTAAACTTCATTTTTAATTAAATCAAATATTTATTATTGTAATATACTTATTATTTCTAATATGCTAATATTATTACAAATAAAAATTAATATCGATAGAATATGAAATTGGCGCTGACAAAATCATCGAATGTCGACCAATATCAACAATTTCAAGTGGCATAAAGTTCAGTATCTCAATCTCTTCTTTCCTCTTTTTCTCTACTAAACATACACACCTATATTACTTTTATTACAAGGATATAAAAAGTAAAGAAAAGGCGATTAAAACAAACAGATATATATTTCATCTTAATTTGTTTCAGTTATAAGACGAAGTCAGATTCATATGAATTGCAACAAGTTTACGTTTTCGACAACACATTTATATATATCCAATGTATTTATTTACACAAATCATTTTGATAGACGTATCATATTTGTATTAAATTGGATTGAATGGTATAATCTAACAATATAAACAATATATAGCACAAATATCGTATGAATTAGTAGGATAAAATGTGTGGTTAGGATAGCTTATATAATGTAAATTAGGTCATTGATATCGAAGAACATTTTTAAAATTATCTGTTTATAATATACTGCATGCAATATTATTTGTCTATAGTATTAGTTTAATATTATTAAAATATTGAAAAAGTCAAAAGATACTATTTTATCAATAATGTAAAATTCTGATTTATTTATCATTGATAATATAGGGAACAATATTTATCGACAGTGTTTTTTGTATGCGTAGGAAGTTATTCTACGCGACACCTACGCGACGCTACTTGTGAGATAAATGGATCACAGCATCGGGGGCAATGATACATTTGTGATCCCACTTGTCAAATCCGTCAAGCTCGACGCGGGACGCAATCGATCGACGAATTCGTGGTGCACGAGTGAGTGGGATCGACGACGCTTGACAGCGTCCGAAGAGACGAAAAAATTCCTCAGCACGAGAATCGCCTATCCGTGTTCTTGTCAATCAAGGGTGACACCGGCCATATTGTTTAAATCATTTAGCGCCCATAGCTCACGCGAGTTATGTATCCGACATAGATATTCACCCCTCAACGATGCAGCTATGAGCAGTATGTCTACTGATGGCCAGAGGTGAGTCTACATTTTCTGTATACGAACAAAAAATAGTCGCATTTTCGACTATACATGTCGTTTTGTTACATTTGCTCGTTGTCGACTCTCTTCCATGTACTTTCTGCATTTAAAAATAAATCAACATCTGAAGTTGTGACAGGAGAAAAGATACAGAAAGCATATAAAGTGTAGCTGCTGCGAGCAGCCTACACTTGTTTGTCTTTTCTAAAGTGGACGATTTGGCGGGAAAAAATGCAATGAGGCACAAGAATTTGTGTCGTACAAATATCAATGTTTCTCTATCACGAGAAATGTTTTATTTTGAGTTATCATTTAACGCTGTTTTTTGAAAAAAGTCGCGAGATGTGTCTTTTTGTACATTTAACCTTTTTACATGCATTATGCAGGTATGTTAGGCGTGATATAATTTTATTATTAATTACATATATAGAAATATATATGTGAAAGAGAAAGAATTATAAGGATAACACACAATCGATTTCCTGCTTGGAGATAAACTCTGTGTTGTCAATATTTCAGAGGTCTATTATTGATTGTCTATGCAATTATCATTGTTGTGTTGTGTATCATTTGTTCTCTGGTCGAATAGCTTATTTCTTTGTCGTATGATTATATCAGTTCTTTCACTTTTATACAATATTGCGGAATATATATACATATACATTTCTGGTACATACGTCTTTTTTTTATATTTGTATTTAAATACAAAGATAAACAAGCTTTCACGTTTTTATTTATAAAGTAAAATTAAGAATCTGATCTGGTCAAAAATTGCGTACATACTCGGATTAACATGCTTCGTACAATTGATGCATTATTAAAAAATAAATTTTTATTATAAAAAGATGTGACACTTGTTACTTATCGTTCACATCGATCTCGTCTTTCTCGTTCCTGTATCCGGTAACCGAGAAAAGTATAGGATAACCCGCTTATCAAAAAAGGTCTTAACTTTCTCCTTTGGGAAGAAATATTTTACGAAAACACCGGGGAGGTCTTTAAAGGTTGATATTTCAAAAAATCGATGAAAGTTCTTAGATTACTTTGTTCTGCGTTCAGATATTTGATATCTCCAAGTATCACAGCGTATGATGAATACATAAATTTCGCATATTAAGATATCCAAATTTTGCAAAATATTGATCCAAATTATTGTATAGAAATTAACTAAAAATTTATAGAAATATATAAAAGTTAAGAATCTAACAATGTGGCAAAGAAATGATTTTTGACTATTTGACTTTCTATTTTTCGACGTAAGAAACTGCACTATTGATAATTGTTTTGACAGCAACATTGCTTTAATCCAATGTTTTCTAATTATTTATTAGTCAACGATTTGACGTAGACAGGTAACTTTGCTTTAGGATAGGCTTCTTCGAAGATTCAGGTTTCGTGTCTAACAGCATCACTATTAAGCTATGGTAGCATGTCAGGCGACGCGCTTTTATTTCTACCACGTGATATATTCATTGACGCGTGTACCCTAAGGTTCCCGGCTAACAAAGCGGTTTCTTCGTCCCGGAACGCTACACGCTTCCACTTATCAATATTAAGTTGCCCGTTGGGAGATAGGGTGACGTCAACCCGCGGGCTCCAGTGCCCCGCATGGCAACTGCCAGACGAGGACAAACAGACAATTCGCGTGGATCGCCTGCTGGTCTCGCTAGTCTCTCCTCTCGTAGTCGCAAAACACGTCGCGCACGCCCTTGTGTGCCTGCCGCCCTGCCGTGCCCTGTTCGTGCCTGTTCGCGCCCTTCTACACCTCCCACGTCCCCCCGTACTCTTCCCGCTTGCTACGCTTGTCTATTCGCGCTCCACACGCTCATATTTGCATAATACGATTCGAAGATTGTACCCTTAATCTCGCTGCTCTGTTCATTTCCTGTAGACATTTAACATCCAAGGGCATGTGGTCAGGCATCTTTTCAATGAAATATATTTTTCTCCTCTTATACAAATATTTATTTAAAAATAAAAGATTAACAAAATCATTAAGTTTCCAAAAAAAGATACTAGAACGATGTTTGCAGTGTAATTGTGGTTTAAATAAAAAGTGGGTCAAATAAATTTTAACGGAGCAGCAACGAAGGGTCTAAGTATGCTAATGAATTTTAATCTGGTAATTTGTATTAACTTCCCAAAATTATTTTTTATCTTGAAGATTTCAAACTCCTACAGAATTATTAAATAATAACAAATCAGTAAAAGAATCATATTAATCATAAAATTTTTGTTTAAAAAAAATCATAATGAATTAATTCAAAGCTTTTGTACGCGGGATACGGAGATTCGCGTAAATGGAGGAATGCTCGACGAAATTGACCTCGGTGTCGTCGGCGACGTCGGCGGTCATCTCGTGCGCGCGCGGAAACAAACGCGGAGACAGCTGCTTCGTTCATAGGAACAGAGGCGAGCGAGCGGCGAACGAACCCTCCTGCTTTGGGCCCCATCTCTTTCACCCGTGGATGCGCCGCCGCTATTCAATGCACGGCGGTTCGAGAGTGTGTAGGGCAGGGATCGACACCCGGCGACGCACGGCGCATGTGGCTCTTTAAGTTCATACGCCGGCCCCGCGTACAAATTCGTAGTCCGGCAAGATGCATGAACTCTATCGCGTCCGAGATATTTGCATTTGCGGTATTCGCGATTGTGACGTGGCAAGAAAACCGCAAAAAAATGCAGACATATAATTTTCTTGCCGCTTACGTCGCATAAATGATTTTTTATCAGCGTAATTATTCGTACAGTCTTAATCTTTTCGAATAAATATGAGAAATTTAATGTTGAATTCGCGTTTTGAGTATCTACTGAACAACAGAACTAAAAGTACTAAAGTTTTAATTAACCAAATAACGATAGAAACGACAGTACAGGCTTGCAATTAATGCGGAGAGCATTGCATGTAGCAGTGCTAACATTATTATTTCTTTTGTTATTTAAAATCAACTACATTTATATTTCGCTATGAGATCGGAGCAATGTCAAATAATATTTACGCGCACATATTTACTCGAATGTTGAGTCAATATACAATTTTCGATGATTATCAGATAATCAACAGAGTTCGTGCGAATTTTCGCGAAATTTATTATCAGCAAGACCGCACTTTATTGGTTGCCTGATAGTACGTGATGATATTTTTTCTCATCAGAATAATTAATAGAATACGCATTTCACACGTGAATTATTTTTGAAATGTTGCAAGAGTCTCAGCAGATTTCGAACACTGCATTTTCGCCTTTGCTTTGCACGCTTTGATACCGGTTGGCAGAGTCCCGTTTCGATACTTTGGTCGCGTTTCACCGCTGATTAACTTCGGCGATTTGCGGACGCACTGGGCATTAAAGCGTTCCAAATTACGGGGTTACTGCACAACACAAGTTGATTCAGGATGATCAGATTTTGAGTTGCAATCATTCGACTGTACAGAAAGCGGTCCAAGAATTGTGATACGCGCGAGGGCAAGAGAGAAGTTATTACTCTCGAAAGAGATGAGAGAAAAAAAAATTCTTTGAATAATAATTTAATTGATCAAATAATTAATATAGGAAAGCTAAAAGCTAACATTATAATGCTTTGAAAATCGAATGATGAATAGAAAGATCTAGAAAGTTCTAGAAAGATAGAAAGATAGATCTAGAAAGATAAAACAAATCGAAAGTTGAAATTCTTCAGCCTTTGTGTCGCATTTGTTTTAAAAAAACAGCAGGAAATTCGCAGGCAATTTTCGAAACAATGGAAGACAATTTTCTATTATTCGAAAAATATCCTTTTTTCGGGCACGGGTGGTCTGCTGGCGAGTTCTTAGTGCCGGGCCACGTTCTGAATTGAGAACCCGGAAGGCGGCATGGCCTCCATGTGCTCCGTTGAGAAAAACCTGTCCGTATCACGGAACGACCTGTGCATCCGCCGACCGTATCACCGCAAACCTGTGTACCTGTGCGCGCGTCGATCTTCTTCGATCCTTCGCTCCTCTCTCGCATCGCGACGTCTCTTCATATTCTTCTCGGAATCGGCCGTGGAGAATGTTACCCAACGTGTGCCCGCGCGCTTCGTTCTCGTGGTTTCATACATGTTGCGCAGGAAGTCCTTTCTTACAGATTTTGCATATTCTTTCAACTTCGACATATGCCGCTCTCAATTTCGAAACGAGCTCTCCGAAACGAGTCACGCGACATAGCTTCTTTTGCGACGTCCTTTTTCGGCCGCCAGATTTCTTCCGATTATATTATTTGCACAAATTTTTGCGTGTTTTTTAGAGAAACTAATATACTAGCGAGATATTTTAATGGGATTGTCAACCTAGGTTTTTTTTATGTGACATTGGATTTCTTTATGATTACAGAGCTGTGATGTTATTTCTATTACAGGTAGAAAGAAAAAATTTTAAAGGTTTTATTATTAGTATTCTTTTGCGAGTTTGATTTACGTTTCGAAGAAAGAGCTCGGATTCACCGAAATTCTACTACATTTTCTATCCTTGGCATTCTTCGAAGCGTGATCCGGAGGAAAGGATCCACGATGATTTTGCGCGATCGATTTGCAATTCCTTCGCCGCGATTCGTCAAGGAGTCGATTAGTTTCCAGAACACAACGGCCGCCGATACCACGCCGAGACCTTTCCGCAACCCTTCCTCTCATTTCCTCGTCTTTCTCACGTTCTTTTTCCTCGTCGACGTTGCCGCAATCTCCGCGCCTCCTCCTCGTCTCTTTTCTTTCTTCCGACTCTCTTTCTTCTCATCTTCCTCCTCCTTGCTTATTTTTCTCACTGTACCGCTCGTCCACGAGTTAAGCAACTTAAGGTCTTGTTCATGCTGTAATAAATTATGCAAAATCTAGCAAATCTCAATATTCAAATGACTAGATCTTTTTACTGGTCTTTAAATGTTATTTTATATAAGTAAATGTCATTTTGATAATGACATTAAGAAGAGTTTATATCGTAACTGGCGTTAATTAATTATGAAACCAAGTCGTATCTTATGTCATAAAATATTTACTCACCCCATTAACGCTAATTACCTTTTTTCTTATATTTATTCTGTAATTTACACATCGAAATTTTTGTGAGCGGCAATGTAGGTGTAACCCGAACTTTAGGCACGCATCGAGTCTGCCAGGTATGCGCCGCTATTAAAGCACATTCCCACAAACAAAGCGCTCCTTTTGTTTTAAAAACCACCGCCACGGTCAAAGCGTACAATTCTTTCACGTTTTTAGGCGTCGTATTTACCGAGAGAAAAATATACAACGCATGAAATAATTTATTACAAATTATTTGATCTATTAAACAACATAACAATATTTTACTGTGTTTTAACAGGCATTAAAAAGAATTATTTTAAAGCTTTTAAAATAATTCAGGAAATGACAGTGATTTTCAAACTATGGCAAATAATCATATTTAATCATATATTATATAAAATATATCGTAAAACATTTTGCAATTCATAATTGTAGGCTAAAAGATAGTCAGTTTGCCATTTTGGTTAATTAATTTCATGGTATCTAATTTGCTCCTTCTAGGAAATATGTGGTATCAAAAGTTCGCTCTTAAGTGTCGACAAAGTGGATTTTTCTCACGGTTCTCTTATCAATTCTCTTTTCAACTATCGCTTCGATTGTTATTCCACACGTGCGTTAAGCCGCGGTCGTGTCGCGTCGCGTCGCATCGTATTGCCGCTTCTTCCCGGTTGATCGTTTACGGCCGATTCCCTCGTGCATGTACACACGATCGCAAAGCCAATGCATACGGCTTGTAGGAACGACCGGCGCCTCCGCTCCGCCGCACCCTGCGTGCCTCTACGAGTCGAGATCCCGGTTCTCTTGGTCTCTCCCTTCTCTCTTTCTCTTCCTCCCTGGGGTCGCTGGCAACTCTTCCCCCTTACTTTTCCCCACGGAATCCAGCGTTAGACCTTCCAGCGTCGGGAGCCCCTCGATTAGCAGTTTGAACCCAACAGCCGTTCAGAGAGGCGGACGGTCCGGTCCCGCGCGACACGTCTCTTGCGTACCCTCTAGCGCTGCCGCGCGGTGTAGTTAGCTTTCAGATAGTTTTTCAGAAAGCGAAGATGTTTTAGCGCATAATACAGCATACACCCACGTGGTACTCTCAGGCGACGAGCGATCCCTCACCTCGTCGTCGGCGCGCGTGCAAGCATCGCGACGCACGCGTTACCCCCCTCGCGTTAAACGCGTCGGGAATCGATTGATAACAGCGATTTCTCCGACCGACGATTCGGACAAAAGCTGCACGGTGACATTGCGGTAGGGAAAGCGTAAGGATATAGAAAAAAAAATAGAGGCGGAATGCTCGCTGTGCTCTGACGCTTGTAAGAAACGCGCCAGGCAAGCCGAGTGACGCCAGGCCGGAGAAGGTAAGAGGGAGGTCGTAAACATGGCCGTGTAGCAGCTTCTCCCGCCGCATCATTAGGCATTTCTCCGGAGACGGAGACGTAGGTGCGATGAAACGCTCGTTTGTTTCGTGCGTACGGCAGTGCTCTTAAATTCGAAGTGTTTGTGCATTCGCGAAAGCGTCGGGAGATTCATTTATCGCCGAGTCCGCGCCACCCGGATACATTTCCCGCTCTTTTGACTCTCGTCCCGTCCGCCCCGCCGCCCGTCTTCCCGAGGGAATCGTGCGTCGCCTATAATGGATATGATATCGAATGGATTGCTCGTGCCGAATGGATTGCCGAGTAACAGCGTAGAAATCGCGGCCTATCAATCGTCCTTTTACTCACCACCGGCCACAGAGGCGTAAGTAATTGTCTGTAAAAATTTGCCAACGCGCGCGTTCATCCACTTATTTACTTTCGTAAAAATGATACTTTTTCTAAATATCAGTAAATATACTTGTAGCTTATTTACAACATTTCATGCGTCTGTATAATGCGATAAGGACACAGCGGTTCATAAACTTACAAATAAAATATGTTTGTTGAGAATATCTGATGTACAATTTTTAAGACTTTAGTAATTTGAAGCTATATTTCTTAAAGTTAAATATCCGTATTTAAATGAAACACATTGACATTTAAAAGCTGTCGATTTAATATCTGTGGCTATCGAGGATTATTTGTAATGAAAATAACCCATGTGTTTTGATTATCTTTCTAGGTGGAGTTTTAAATGTTTCGTGTGTAATTTTGCGACTTCTCATTTGTTTCGATTTTTTAAATTCGAATCTTCAGCTTGCATTTAAAAAATTTTTTTAAAACGATAAAAATTTATTATTACGGCGACATTATTATTTTGAAATAAAAACACTATTCGGATTTATACTTTATTTCTCCGAGAGATTTATCCTTATTTTTTAAATACCGTAACTCTAGATATATTATTTCCAAAATTTTTAAATCTTGCATTGAATGTAAGCGCAATCGGAACAGAAGATTTTGTTATCTTAAATTATTAAAATTTACGTTCAAAACAACCGACAAAAATTTAAAAAGGAAGTAAAGTTTAAGGGACTTTTTATTATTTAATTATTAGTTAGGAGTTACATACAGCATGCTCTGACAGTCTCTTAAATATTCAATTGAGAGAGTTATATTGTGTGGCCGTGTCGGTGATATCGCGTGCGGATGTAAGAAGGGGATATACGCGGCATTCCAACAGCGGAAGTATACGCAATGTTGATATCAAAGGATGCGGCGTTATCGTGGAGAAGAGATTGTGAAACACCGATCTTAGAGCGAGCTTTCTTTCATTATGCGATGCTGTTAGTATTTAGAAAGACTCAATATTACAATATAATTTAGTTAAATATTCGCAATAGAAGGAAATACAGAAGAGACAAACGAGGTCGTCGTGTTACTTTGTTTCTTGTGTTTATACAATATGCTTTTGTGATATTGTTGGTATTTTTATTTTCTTCAGTTCAACTTGGTTATTCATAATTAATTGAGCGTATAAGCACATTATTCGGCTATTTAGCATTTACATCGAAGTTGTGTTCTAAAATAGCAAATGTCCAAACTTTGTTAAGGCACTCGTAGATTTATTTATTTAATTACTTTTTAAGAGCGACTATTAAGTACATATTTTATTTTGTTTTTATGAAAATTGAAATTTAAAGTTTTATCTCCATATATTTCGATTTTCTATCTCAAAAGCATTCTTTAAATATTTTTAAAAATCATTACCTTTAGCATAATGTACAATACTTTTCTCTTTAAATTCTTATCGCCGTCAATAACTATGATACGTCGTAAATTGTCTATCATTTGTAAATGAATAATTAGAATACGGCTGCAATGAAATGCTTTAAAAGCTTTAAAAGTGATTCTCGTGCAATTTATATTTATAAGAATACGATTAATATCTCTCGAATATCTGTTAGGTAACACATTTAATTAGTATCTTATGAATATTTGATGATACAGCATATATCATAGGGAAGTTGCATATACACGGTTTTTACAATTCAAAATACCGGATATTCTTTCAAACAAAAATTCTTTCATCAGTTTAATTAATTTAATTCAACGAGTTTTTTTTTGAGCGAAATAAAAATGATAACTTATCGCGACTTTTTTATTTTCGTAACTACATGCAAATGTATAAATTTTTTACCAATAATAAAAAATTAAAGTTTTGTTTCCGTGAAACTTGATTCGCAACGGTTCTTTAATTTTTAAACGCTAACTGCTCGAAAATTAATGAGAAGAAATTCCGACTGCCTGTGCAATTTTTTAAAATATTTATTTACAATGTTTGGCGTAAAATAAGAAAAAAAATTTGAACAGCATAATGTTGATTCTAATAATTTAAACAGATATAAGATTTGAGTAATTTGAAAAAATTATTGGTGGGCGGTCTCTGCGTGCAACTATTTCTAAGCTCTTTCTAAGCTCTAGAATGCTAAAAAAAACTTTCTATTATATTTCACTTTCTATTATTTAACACGCTAAGTATACGGTCAGAAAGCAATTTTCTTTCTTCTTTTTATGCTTGATAATGGATTGCTCATGGATTTTCCTGGCAGTCTCCATTCTCACATGGCTATTCATGCGAATGGTATAGATTTTACGTAGATTGTCTGTTTCTCGCGCGAGAATACAAAAGAAAAGAGATATGCAAAAAAATATTTATAAGAAAAATATAAGCATTTAAAAAAAAAGAGAGAAAACAAGCATTTAAAGGGAAAGTGTAAAAGAACTTAAAGGGAAGAATTTAAAAGATCCTAAATATTTTGTGAACCAACTTTGTCAGTATCGAGATTCTATGTTAAATTCTGCAGACGCCGCATCGTTCAAAGGCACAGCTCTTTTAACAATTGCAGTTGTTTCCATTGAAATATCCTCACGTTTGGTATGCCGAGATAGGAAAAGAGAACAAGGTAATATTCGTGGGGACTTGTTTGAGTTAGGCCGGAATATCCGGTCCCCAGGTAGCGGGGAAAACGTAGTGCGTCTCAACAGGCGGGATGGCCGTCAGACAAGAAAGCTGGGCTTTCGTTCTTCATGGTCAGTCGCATCGTGCTTGTCCCTCTTCTGTGATGACTATCGTTCATAATCATACCGTACTTTTCAGTCGTCGCTAGTCACTCGGAGTGCTCAGAATTAAAGGAAACGATGAAACGATAATTCTTCTCGGCCGGTCCGTAGCAGGTCTACAGCAAGACAAAAAGAGGGAGCGAGGAGGCTAGGTTGCTTAAGGAGATTTAAACCCGGTTTTCGGAACGATCGTGCTGGGAATTTTTACGTCGTTTATTTTGTACCTCTCACTTTTTTGACTTGGCCCTGCCGAAACATATATTTGGATCTTTTGTTCAAAGTTTTGAATTTTTTTAATTTTAATGAGGATCGATTTCGCGATGCTGCAATACTCACTTCCTCGTGATTTTTTTTTGCATTTACTCCAAAACTATTGTTCATTACAAATCTAATACAAAAATATAAAAGTAACACTTCGTGTTACGATTTGATAATTTCACGTGGTGAAAAGCATGTGTTTAACTCTCGTTCAGCAGTGAGCAAAGAAAAAAACGAAATAAACATTGTTTATTTAGCTTAAATATATTAAATATATTTTAAGTATATTTATTTTATATTTTAATTTTTATTCTATTAGTTAAAAGGGAGTTTGGAAATATAATAAAATCAAAATCTAGTAAAATTTATTTAGAAAAGAAAGTTCTCATGGATTAACATAACAATTCACATAAAAATATTATCTGGCAAACGGCGGTCGTACAGTCACATTCTTGCAATTCCAAGATCTCACATTTAGTCAAAATCTTAGAAATATCGTTAATTTTCAAACCGAGTACCTTGAGAAAGTTATATATTAGCATAGGACAAGCATAAAATTGACGAGTGGAAGACTTCGCAAACAAAAAAAAAACACGAAGTTGTTCATGAATGGTCACTGGGAGCAGACTCGAGGCATGCTTTTGAGATCCGCTGTCTTTCAATTCTCTGTAAATTTCTACGTGGTGTGAGTCGAAGTCGTAGCCACGAGGCAAGAATATCCATTCAATACTTATTCCTTCCCAAAACAAATGGCTCGATTTCTGATGGATTTTCGTTTATTTATTATCGATTATTATATAATCGTTGAATTATGTACGAGAATATATTTGCTTGACCTATTTTCGCAATTTTTATCTGCAATTATTTTTAATTTAAAATTTAGGAAAAAATTATATTTTTAATTAATTCTGATTTATAAGAGAATAGAGTTTTCTCGATATCGCTTTGACACACTTTAACGATAAATGTCGTGACGAAGTTTTGACATTACTTTCGTAAGATTTTGTAAATTCTTATTAAACACATCGGTTTCGCTCGCCGGGATATCCATATAAATAGATCGTGCATCTTTGTACTCGCGTCACGTGTGGTCTCTCAGCGGAGAGCTCTCCTCTAGCCATTCTCGGGATTCACGCGGGAACACCAGTGTCCGTGAGATCAGTGAGTTATTCACAGTCATTAGAATTGAAGTTAATGTACACGAAGGGACGCTCCTCTCAATATAGAGCCCGGGCGCGTTGTATCGCTCTCGGGCATTAAGTTTCTCAAGTTTTACAACGGAATTTAAAACTGAATTGCGTCGGGACGTCTGGACAGCTGCCGGTCGTTACCCTAAAACTCCACCGAATCGGGCTATGTAGGGCGACCAGAAAAAGCCACCCTAAAACGTCAAATAACAAATTTCGAAGGGGTTGCCGACGAGATTCGCGACCGGGCCCCTTGAGGAGACTTCTTTCAAGATGGGACGGACCGCGGCCCTTCGACTGCTCTCGCAGCCCGTTCTTCTTTCCTTTTCATTATTTTCGATATCGATTTAGCGCACTTGGGGTCGGCGATGCTGATCGGCGGGCTGCAAGGGCGAACTTGATTTTCAGCATCTGCTCTCCGGCTAAGAGCGCTTCGAAATAATCTTGTCTAGAGCACCGTATCAATTTTCGGCGTTCCACGGGACGTTGTGCGTTTTATCGTATTAGATTCGCAATTGATTTGTCGTGGTGTTCGACATTAAAACGCGGTGAGATATAAGAATAATTCGCGAAGTTAGTCTTCCTTTCTAGATGGGCAATTGCTTTTTATAATTATTATTGCATCTTGGCTATGTTTTATTTCGCGTTGTATGTTTTTCTTCCTTCTTGCCCTAAACAGCTTGCCCTAATCTCCCGTTGCATATTGCACAGTAAAAATCTATCGCACTGCGGAATCAGACTTGGACTCGACAGTTTTCATGCATATTCCTCCCGCTTAACGTGACCGTACAAAGGACCGCGTTGTGTCTCGATT